TATTTCCCCCACTGATGATGGAAGGGGCTTCCTTTTACATCAGTAGAGAGATTACAGCAACATAAGACATGATGGTATTATCTAGTGTTGAGGATCCAAAGTAGTGCTGATTCCACATGCAGGCTGTCACACAGCACTCTTGGCTTACGGGATGCATAAAGGGGAAAGTGGTAATTGCCTTGCACAGGAATTTACTAGTTTAGATTTAATATAGATGGTGAGGAGATCTCCCTACTGGTGGGATATTTTTTCTCCCTTTTGAGATATCTTTTGTTAAATACTGTTAAAGTACCATTACTGATACGCCTTTGTTGAAAATACCCTTCTGAAAGGTGCTTTGGCTCAACAGAAGATCAACTGCTTTAACTGCCATTTCCACCCAGGCCAGAGGGAGAGGGAGGCACATCAGCCCAATAGAACACATTTATTTGTTTCTAATTTTTTGGCTCTTCAATATAAATGGGGCTATAGTAAAAACTAGGCTTGAATTATAGATTATCATTCTATACCCTGAGAGGGGAAAGATGTGTACTCAATGCTATGTAGACCTCTAAATTTTCCTTAGAATATTTCTAAGTGAACTACTTCATATTAGAATCACAGGTTACCCATTGAATTTTTAAGTGGGAAGGAACCTCAGACCACCTTGAACCTATTGTTACGCTTCTGGATATGTAACAACAGAAATGTGTAATTTTCTTTTTGTCACTCATGCTACATAAATGAATAGCTAAGTACTAGAAACTTTTTTAAAATTTAATTTTAGAAGTGACAACAGGACTGAATATGGAACAAAGTATAAGTAAAATGGCCAACTGGTATACTTCAATTCCCAAAGGAAAAGGAAAAAAGAGTAAAGGAGGGATTATTGATCATCCCTGCTGTCCAGGTTGATCCTGCCCAAAGGCAGTACTGGAACACTGGAAGCAAGGGTTGACCTCCACTTTTGGACCATGGAAACCATGAAGGAAGTGTAAGAGATCTGATTGTCTGTTTACTGTGGACATGGCAGGAGGGGCCTGAGACTTAGCTGCCTTTGGAGCCTCAGGGTAGGTCATGAAGTTGCATCTCCAGCCTTGAGGTGACACTGGGGAATGCCCTGGCCAGTACACCTTTTATAGCTTAAAGACAAACTTTCCTTTCCACTGGCTGTTTTTGGACCTCCTCTTAAGTGTGTCAGATCTTGAGAGAGAGTTAGAGTTTAAGGAGAGGGGGGAAAAAAGTCTCAGGGCACTAAAGTCTGGCTCTGCCCACGTAGCATTGGCAGTACAGTATAAGCCCCCAGCCAGCATCTAAGTTCTCTCAGGTTGCCTGCCTTACAGCTGTAATGGGCTCAGAGTTTTTCCTCAGGTTCCCAAGGGAGAAACCCTCCTTAATGAGAGAGAGTGAGAGAGAGAGAGAGAGAGAGAGAGAGAGAAAGGTCGGCCTGAGAGATCCACCATAGCTAGGCCATGGTGGGGGGGCTCTTCTGGAGAACAGACTCCACTGGAGTGCTGGACGGTCACAGTCACATTCCTAGGCAGCATTTCCCAGTTTGGTACAACCTATACCGACCTCAGGTGATGACTGGTCCCTTTGTGTGTCACCAAATATGATGCACAGATGACACACGCAGGAATTTCAGGTGCTCAGGGTTCTTGAGCCCACTCTGAGAATGAAAGCACAGCAGACTCCAGCAAGGTATTATTTGTAGAGAAGAGAAGAGAAAGACTGCATAGTGGGAAATGCAGGGGGACCCAGAAAATGGTGGTCCCTTGGGTCAGGGTGGGGATTGGGTTTTTATAGCCTTTTTTGAGGGCAGCGATGTCTCTCAGGTGCAGACAGAAGTTTCCTGGGAAGAAGAGGTGTCTCCTTGACTACTTATCACCTTTTGGGACTCCTGCAGTCCGTCCTTCAGAGCCACTAAGTACTGCACCCTCCACAGCCTGAGCTCCCTGCTGTATAAATTCCTCAGCAGATCTGCTTCCCATTGTCCCCACTCCATGACTGTTTCTCATAGTTTCCTCTTATCCAGACACTGAAACAGGCTCCCTGAATTGTGATTGTTCCTTATTTTCAGGTCCCCACAGTAGTCTCAAACAATAGGTCCCTCTCAAGATGGCTTCTGGTTATCACTCTGAGAGATGGGGATTGGTGTAAGGGATTTCTTCTGCAGTGCTGGCCTGCCACATAAGAGAAGTTACTGTCAGACCAAATCCCTGCACTGGATTTAAGGCTTATGAGAACTTTGGGTTTCTCCTGAAGCTTGGGCCAGGTTTACCTTGTGGTTGTTGCTTCAGGTTCCTCTCCCCAAAGAGAGCCAGGATTGGAGCCACAGAGTGTTTCCTGCTTTTTTCTGCATCACATGTTTGTGCTTTCTACCTGTCCTGTCACCTTGTTCTTAGTTCTCGTGCTCTTTCTCTCCTCATAATGTCATCTTTCCTGTTACCCTTCTCATTCACAGAGTCACAAAGGAAACTTCTAATCCACCATCCTTCCACTGAATCAGGTAGAGTTCTCACAGACTTCCTGTTGGTTACTGGGAGCTTTTTGGTTTGTCCCATTGGAAAGTCAGGAAAGACTTTTTCCTGCCTGAAGAAAATAAATCATTTATAAAAAGTTTGCCTTTCTTTTGTTGTACAGAAGATTTTTAGTTTGATGTACTCCATTCCTTCATTCTTTCTCTTAGCTGCTAAGCCCGTGGAGTTCTATTTAGGAAGTCCCTAGGCCTGTATGTTCCAGTGTATTTCCTATTACTTTTTGTAGTTGTTTCAGTTTCAGGCCTTGTATTAAGATCTTACTCTTATTTTCCTGCTTCATATGCATATTTGTTTTGTGTGCTATGAATTGTGTGTATAGGGAATGTAGTGTCTAAAATCATTTTTTCCAGAGGAAAAGACTCTGTATCGCCATTTATACTGGATGAGGGGCAAATCATCTTTAATCAGGAATTGAGCTGAGTCAGAGCTAGTTTGCAGTTTTACTTAGGTTTGGTGTACCTTTGTTTTAAAGTCTCTTGAGGTTGATGCCTTTTTGTTTCAGGCCCCACCTCTATAACCATCCCAGTGGTATCCTTGGCACTCTTCTCTACTGACACTAAGCTCCAAGGTAATATCATCTAGGCTTTCAGTCTTTTGCTGTTAATTTCCAGATCTGTATCTCCCAGCAGGAGAGAAGGCACAGAGTACTTAAGGAAAGTTTAACAAAGGGAATATTACAAAGGTGTGGGCAGGATTACGGGAAACAAAAAGGGATGGTCAAGCTCCCTTGGGATAGCAACAGATGGAAACTGGGCCTGAAAGGACAAAAGGAGTGATTAGCAGACCTAAAGAGAAGCTCTTTTGGGTGAGCCCCCAACAGGAGCTGTGGCCTTTGGTAGAGGGACCTGGCTAAACCACATCACCTGGTAGGAAAGGAGCTGAGGAAATAAATCTCACATCCTCCCCCTTTCTTTCATCTCCTGCCAGAATACTTCCCATTTAAGTCCTAGTGGAAGTGAGAAGGCAAGGGAGATCATTGATGTATTCCATAAGGTTACCTTAGGACACAGAGAAGGGTGAGAGTTGATCTGGAATGAACAGAAGCACTCATGTATACAACAATTTTCTACTTGTGAATAGCTAGGAGGCATCTCAAAAGATGAATATGAGTAGGGACTAGACAAAGAGGGTCACTACCAAAGATAGGGGTAAGGTTAACATACACTGAACCTCAAAAGGAATGTTTTTACGTGAGAGTCAATGAAGAACAGTGATCTGGAAGAGGGATGGAGCTGGTGAAAGTATGTGAGTCCTACAAAATGTGGGGAGACAGAAGAATAAATAGCATTCACCTGAGAGGACTACAGAAGTTAAGCCTTTGTGAAGAGAACCAGGTGCCAGTCAAGATTGGTGCCCACCAAAACCAGAGAGTAAAGGAAACTAACAGTGGTATTTGTTTGCTGGTGTTTCAGGGGGCACATTTGGCATAAGAGAGAGCAGGAAGGGGTAGGAAGCACTGAACACAATGCAGATTAAAGTACAGAAGAAGCCTAAAGTTCTTCAGTTGGTGGTGGTGCTACATTGTAAGGGGTGTTAGGAAATATGACCCCCATAATTTTGACTTCTCCAGTGACTGAGAAGTGTGTTATGTTAGCAGCAGTTCAGATTGAGGGACAGGCTCATGGCAATACTGCACAATTGTCCTTATGCAAAAGGCCAATTATTTCCCCACTGATGATGGAAGGGGCTTCCTTTTACATCAGTAGAGAGATTACAGCAACATAAGACATGATGGTATTATCTAGTGTTGAGGATCCAAAGTAGTGCTGATTCCACATGCAGGCTGTCACACAGCACTCTTGGCTTACGGGATGCATAAAGGGGAAAGTGGTAATTGCCTTGCACAGGAATTTACTAGTTTAGATTTAATATAGATGGTGAGGAGATCTCCCTACTGGTGGGATATTTTTTCTCCCTTTTGAGATATCTTTTGTTAAATACTGTTAAAGTACCATTACTGATACGCCTTTGTTGAAAATACCCTTCTGAAAGGTGCTTTGGCTCAACAGAAGATCAACTGCTTTAACTGCCATTTCCACCCAGGCCAGAGGGAGAGGGAGGCACATCAGCCCAATAGAACACATTTATTTGTTTCTAATTTTTTGGCTCTTCAATATAAATGGGGCTATAGTAAAAACTAGGCTTGAATTATAGATTATCATTCTATACCCTGAGAGGGGAAAGATGTGTACTCAATGCTATGTAGACCTCTAAATTTTCCTTAGAATATTTCTAAGTGAACTACTTCATATTAGAATCACAGGTTACCCATTGAATTTTTAAGTGGGAAGGAACCTCAGACCACTTGAACCTATTGTTACGCTTCTGGATATGTAACAACAGAAATGTGTAATTTTCTTTTTGTCACTCATGCTACATAAATGAATAGCTAAGTACTAGAAACTTTTTTAAAATTTAATTTTAGAAGTGACAACAGGACTGAATATGGAACAAAGTATAAGTAAAATGGCCAACTGGTATACTTCAATTCCCAAAGGAAAAGTTGTCTTTACTTTGTAGCTTTCAATCTTAGAGAAAAGACTTCATCATTTTATATATGATGTGGTTTTCTGGGCTACTGGTATCTTCATAGAATTTGACTGGCATTTCCTTTTCTTGAAAATGAATGGGCATTTTCTTGCTCTGCACACACATAAGTTTCACTGCCAAGGGGCCCAGGTTTGTATAATCCTATGGAGAAGAGACACAAGAGAAGTTATCTGGCAAGTTAGCCTTGATAGATTACATTTTCCTTGGTGTAGTGACAGATTTCATTGCTCCCTGAGAGCCTGAATGCTGTAGGACACATGAAATATGAAAGCCACTATAAAAACCAAAACAACAACAAAATATTTGGTAAGTTTATGTACCCAGTGGTGCATTGTAGGAAAGATCTCCCGAAGAGTAGGTAGGAAGTTTGGTAGTCCTGTCTCACAGGTAGTTGAGGCTGTGGGGTACTGACTAGAGAGAGAGATATATCCTTTACAAGCTATTTAATTGGCAAAAAAAGTCTTGGCTAAATACACATAGCCCTCTGTTAGACAGGACATAACCACAACCATTCTGTATTATTCAAAAACAAAGGGGAATATTCTGCAAATGCTACTTTGACTATAGATATTTTAATATGGATCAACTTTTCCATGAATTTCATGCTTTTCACTGGATCTATGGCTATTATATTCATAAAACTTAGCACATTATGCCAAAGTATAGTCCAAGATGTTCAACCAACAGGATTAGATATCCAGTTTATATAAAATCTCATAGACAACCCAAAACAGCACAGGCTGTACCTAACATCCTTTCCTATGGGAAGCCTTTCAAGTCAAAACTCTCACTTCTGGATTCCTTCAACACTTCAGCAACCCTTTCCTAAGTGCCCACTGTGTATATCAAGTGCTGAAGCGCAATGATAAACACATAGGCAGATACAGACGGCTGATTTTCTTATTTGTCATCTTTAAACCTGTAAGCATTTTGGAAACAGGGCCTGCTATATAGGCATCTTTGAAAGCTCATTTCCCAAGCAGCCTGGCATGTGGACAGGTTCTCAATAAATGGAGTTCTCAATATTTGGACTTAAGAGAATCAAAGAATGAAAAAAGGAGGCAATGTTTTGTTCATCAAAACTGCTTATCACTATATTCAGTTTTCAAACTATAGAGCTATTAGGAGAAAAAGCAAATTGATGGAGGTCTGTCAGGTGCCATGCTATACATTATGGACATGACAATTCCACCACAACAAAAATTTACATAAGCCAGTCAGGGTGGTACACATCTGCATTCCCAGCATTCAGACATGGAGGCAGGAGGATAGCAAGTTCAGGGCAGTATGGGCTACATAGTGAGTTCTAGGTCAGCCTGGGCTACCCAGTGAGACCCTCTCTCAAAGAAAAAAAAAAACAAATAAAATAAATCTCACATGGAAGTAAGAATGCCTTGTATTCAACCCCATGGCATACAATTTGAGTCTTTTATAGACAACTGTATACTAGCTGCAATCATCATGGCACACCTGGAGTCAGATTCCAATGTACACATGGGTGTATGGTAGACAGATGACTACACTTGAGATTTTTGTATGTATTTTGCACTGCTGGGAATCAAATTCAGTGCCTTATATGTGATTAGTAAGTGTTCTACCTCTAAGGCACAGCCCAACAATTTTAGTCTTTAAATGGTCATTTGATGGTAGCAGGACTGAATTAGAATTAGTTAAAATGGTGGTTTATTCCATTTCTTATGTTTTTTTACATCCTTCTTTCTCCTATGAGACTTAAGTTCTAGAAGAACTTTTAAAGTTTTGGTAATACCAGGAAGGGAAATAGTAAGGGGTGACTGGGAATAACTGGAATGTACTAAAGAATGGTTTCAAAATTAAAAAATTTGACATTCCAGGTTTTGATCAATAGTGTATGTGGCAGGTTGTGTTTTCCAAAAATGGCCTGACATATATCCTATTCCACATACTTTTTTTTTCCTTTAATTTTTTTGGCAGTACTGGAATTTGAATTCAGGGCCTTGTGCTTCTAGGCAGATGCTCTACCACTTGAACCATGCCCCAACCTTTTTTGCTTTGGTTATTTTGCAGGTAGTACCTCACATTTTTGCCCACTGAGCCAGCCTTGGAAGTGATCCTCGTGATCTCTACCTCCCAAGTAGCCTACATAATTTTCTTACAATGTGATGCCAACCTTCTTCCATCAAGATGTAGGAGCTATGTTCCTTCCCTTTGATTGGAACTTATAACTACAACAACCAATAGAATATGAGGGAAGTGATGGTATATGATTTCCAGGGCTAAGTCATACAAAACATTGCAACTTTTATATTGGTCCCTGGGATTGCTTGCTTTGGGACAAGTCAGACACTATAACAAGGGGACACTTAAGACACTTGGAGAGGTTCATTCAAAAAGGAAGTGAGGCCGTTGTTTAGCCAGTACTGTCTTAACAGACATGTGAATGTTTCACCTTAGAAGTGGATCCTCTTGCCCCAATCAAGCTTTCAGATGAGTGTAGCCCTAGGCCAACAAAGGTTTAACTACCTAATAATGCAAGTGAGAATTGTTCAATGGAGCCCTTCCTGAATTCCTAGTGAACAGATTCCTAAAAGAGAATAATAATTGTTGTAAGAAATTATTTAGATTAGATTTGGGGGACTATTTATTATGTAGTATTAGATAGCTTACATTTTATACTAGTAATGGAGGTTTCTAAATGAATATGTAATGTAGTAAACTGGCCAAGAGTAGGAGTGAAAATAGTATTCAATGAGATGTGAATGTTGGAACAATTTTACTAATAATTATAAATAGGTTCTTTTGATACCGTATTTTAGGCTAATTTGCTCCATTTATTAAAAACCACATCCTTCTATTAGTCAAAGTTATACTATCATGAATCTTACCTTGAAATCCCGTTCATCTTCATATAGTAAATATTTCACAGACGAGCCCCCATACTCTGTGCCTGAGCTGTCCTCTTCACTGATTTTCAGATTCCGGACATTTGTGGTGCTATCTTCCTGGCTGAGATGGAAGGCACTGCTCTCAACTGATGAGCTCAACATTTCTCTACTTTCTTTTTCTGCAAGTTGTAACTTCCATGACTCTTCTGGGATGAATGCAAAGAAATTAATTATGTATACATTTTGAACAGATAAATATAAAATGCAATATATCCTTTGTCAAATCTTTTTAATTTGAAAGAACTTTGAGCATTAGAAATGTAAAATTTGGGGTTAAGCATGTAGGTCAGTGGAGAGCCTTGGCTAGTATGTGTTGGCCCTAAGTTTAATCCCCAGCACTGCAAAAAAAAAAAAAAGAAAGAAAAATGTAGAATTTATGGATTAAATAAGAGGGAACTTCATTTTTAGTAACTTTAAATTGTATTTCCTTCTGATAACTAGTAAGTTACAGTAATCATTTGGGAACCAATGTGTGTGTTGACATTTTCCTTGGATAAATTGAAACCCAAACTATATCAGTGTAGGCAACACTCCATCCCTTTCCACTAGTATCTATCTAATTCAGTATAAAACATGGAGAGTTTGGTTAGAAAATAGGATTAGAAACCAGGTACAGTGGTGCTTGCTGATAATCCCAGCACTTGGGAGGCTGAGGCAAGAGGATTGTGAGTTTGAAGCCTGCTTAGGCTATGTAGCAATACAAGGAAGGAAGGGAAGAAGGAAGGGAGGGAGGCAGGGAGGAAGGGAGAGAGGAAGGGAGGGAAGGAGGGAAGGGATAGGAAAAGAAATAGAAGATAGACTCTGACAAGTATTGCAAGAGGAGAAATCTAGAGTTGCTGGTATGTATCTACTCCCTGAACAACTCTTGCCATGTGGAGGGCCTGCCCATAAGTGATGCTCAATAGCTGTTTATTAAACTGAGAAAAAAATAACACCATTATAATAAAATAACACCTTTATATATTTCTGGCAATTCGAAAGGCATTTCTTCAGGTGGCACTTCCTGCCCAGTGGCTTGAGTAAGATATAGTCGCCTAAAAGAACAAATAAGAAAAACAGTCTGCCAGTCAGTAAGTATTGTATTACATGGTCACCAGTATTTATTTCTCTGAATGCTGGAGACACATAGAAAAAATGAGACATATTTTTGTATGCTTGAGGAGCATAAGGCCCACTGAGTGGCAAACAATTCTACAGGGTTTTGACATGAAGGTTTGCACCACAATTGGTAATTAGTGTATTATGAGAAGCCGGGAACAGAAGGTAGTAGCACCTGAGTTAGCCTTAGGCACTGGTGAAGGTTTCCTGGAGGAGATGAAACCTGAGTTCAGTCTTAAAGAACTAGAAGTTCATTTGGGAAGATCAGAGGGTGAGGGGAAGGCATTCCAAGATAAGGGAGTAAGGCATTGAAGTCCCAGAAATGGTTTGTAGTGAGGTGAGGAACGGTGGTGGCCTGAATGGGAGATCAGTAAAAAAAAGAGAAAGGTAGCTGTAGGAAACCAAGATGCTATCTGGTCCTGACTCTCACTGAGTGACATATTTCAGCTACAGCCCAGTGAATTGATGCATGTGCTGATGCAGCTCTCTGTGCTCGTACTTTGTGTTTTCCTTGTCACAATGCTCACTGAATTTTCAATAGAAAACATGATGTCTTGTGCTGGAGCACTTGCCTAGCATGTGCAAGGCCCTGGGTTCAGTCCCCAGGACTGCAGGAATAAAAAAAAGAAGAAGAAAATACAACGCCGTGAAAGTTGTGTTTGGTCTTTCCATGGGGTTTGCCTGAAAAGAACATGACACCACCATGCAATTATGCAAACTGCCACTCATGCTTAGCAGCTCAGCAACCAAAGTAAATCCCCTGTTAGGGGCTGTCAATTACTTAACATGAGTAAAGTGTTTTCACACACTTTGGGCTCCAGCAAATACTATAACTATATGTGGTATTTACATATATAATCCTCCAAAAGACTTAACTGAGTAAAGGTTAGTTTCATATGTAGCTCTGATCTGCAGGTATACATGTCTCAGGGTATAGGACTGCTTCCTGGTTTTACCATGATGAATAATTAAGATCTTACCAAATGCCATAACCTTCATAAATCTAGCTTTTTCTCCTAACCATTAGTTTATTGTCACTTTTATATCACTACAGAATAGCAACACTTGATATTTAGTGCCATAGGAAACACTTTAAGAGAAAATAGTATGTGAAGCTAGCGTTAGAGTTGTAGGTACTGGCCTACTTAGTCTCAGCCCTGTGGTGTGGGAGTCCTCATTGACACCTGCCTCACCCATTTATCTCAGTAGGTCAACATACATGAGTTGCGGTGGAAAAAAATGTGGGGAGTGCTGCATGAGAAATGTAGCAATTCGGTAAAGCAGCATGTCCCATTCCCATTCAAATAGGAAAGCAGAACTTTTTTACGTGGCTCTGGGGTTTGAACACAGGGCTTTGCACCTTGCTAGGCAGGCACTCTACCACTTGAACTGTGCCTCCAGACCTTTTTGCTTTAGTTATTTTTTTGAATAGGGTCTTGTGTTTTTGCCTGGGCCAGCCTGAACTGTAATCCTCCTAATATATGCTCCTGAGTAGCTCAGATGACAGGCGCATCCCCACACCCAGCTTACTGATCAAGAAAGGATCCCAATAACTTTTTGCAGGGGCTGTCCTTGAACCTTGATCCTCCTGATCTCTGCATTCCGAGTATCTGGGATTATAGGCATGAACCACCACACCCAGCAGGAAAAACAAAAAACAAAAAACCTCTTTTATGTCCCCTGGGGACAGTTTATATCTATTTCTCCTCACTTTCTACAAGTGTGAGTTCCACATTAGCCTACGTTACATAGTAAGGTCCTGAGAAAGGAAGGAGGGGAGGAAGAAAGGACAAAAGATGAGAGAGGATAGATTATCTCATGTCTGACTATTTGTCCAATTTACGAATGTCACAGCTTGAATTTTAATTCCATATTCCAGGGCCCTAGTTTCCACCAAGAATATAATATAAGACTTTTTTTTTTCCTTTTGGTAGGGGGGGTCAGGTTAGTAAGACAGCTAACTTAAAACACAAAGCAATGTGTATATTTGATTTCTCCTGCACAGCAACAAATATGTCTTGGAATGCCAAGCTGTTTTCTCCCACAAAGTAGTTTGACTACCTCATCAGACAAAAATAATTCTACAATCCACAAGGTAGCTAGAGTCCAGAACTCCTCCAAGAAGTGCTAGCTCACACCTCACATATCTTCTGCTACAATGTTACACATTTAGTTCTTGACCATTTTAAGTGCTTGCCATTATGACTATAGTGCATTGGTAGAAAAAAGTAAGTCAAAGTTTATATTGTACCAATGCTCAATAGTAATAATTCTATACCTTCATCATGGTGGTTTTGTGAATTCCTTTTGTTTTGACTATTGTAATATGGTTTAAACATTAAAGAATTAAATAATCTTTAAAAGAACACCTTTTTACAGATACAAATGTTTACAAAACACTTTCTAGATATGTTAATGACTTTGACCTGGGTATTTTGAGATCCACAAGTCTACAGTTGAATAGTTGATCAATAAGCACCAAATTTTCTTCTTCCAATTCATGTATATTACTTTCTAATTCTTCAACTTCTTTTCTGTGAACTGCAATCTGTTTGCAGAAGAAGAGAATGGATGTTAGTGCTATGAAGTCTTCTATGGCAAATTTAACTGCTGAAAGTGCATTTGCCTGAGGAGAAGATCTATCCTATATTACTTCTTATGGGGTTTGCTTTGTCCCTCCCTGTAAGAAGGAATATGTAGGACTTTTTCTAGGTCTTTATCAGAACTTGTTTCATGTTTAGGCAGTTATTACAGAAGAACAGGAGTTGTCTTCTTCCCTTCATAAGAACTGCTGAATTTATGAACTTATGAGGTAAAGGCAGAGAAAAGAAAACAAGGCCAATTAACTGATCAGAATGGCATATTGGCAGCTGACAGAGGATCTATCTAAGGGTCATTATAAGACATACAATAAAAACTGGTAACACTGGACAAAATGACACATTACAATATTTTTCAAAAGAGAAGCACATGCCTAGAAGCCCTTTCTATCAGCCTGTATAATACAGTTAGGTTCTCTATGAGTCTGAGGTAGTTCTTAGAAAAGCCAAGTATATTAAATATTATTTGTTCATTGTTCATTCAATTGTACTGTATCTGTATCCCTACCATATTCCAGAAACTGTATTATACTTTGGGAACAAATGAACAAGATATGATAATCTCCTAGGATGTCTTAGCCTATGGGGAAAGGTGGTGAAAACAGAAAACAATACAATAAAAACCATAATGTCAGTTGTCCAGCTTCTGTGGGAGGAGAGAGAGATGCTTTGTTTCTGTCAGGTGTTGGGATAAGGGAGAATTAAGAGAAGAGGCAACATCTAATCTGTATCTTAAAAGTAAGGATTCCCTAGGCAGACACGAGAAGTTGCCTTCTAGGTAGAAGGAACCATGTGTGCAAAGGCACAATTATTTTGATGTGGAGACATTCAAAGTGGGAGTGGGGAGATGCTGGAGAGGAATTAGACAGTTAGTGAATGGTCAAACAATACTAAAGAACTTGGTTTGGTGGCTGGAAGAATGGCTCAAATGATAGAGCGCCTGCTTAGTAATCAGGAGGCCCTGAGTTCAAATCCCAGTACCACCAAAAAAAAAATCTGGTTTTTATCCTCTAGGCATTGACATCATTGCTAGACAGAGAAATGATATTTACTGAAAAAATATGGTTAACTCAAATATGAACAAATTTGTACTTTTGTTGATGGAGCTCTTATGAGTCTTTATGAAGTGCATTTTGATAAACTTTTGCCTAAAGGCTTGATAGTGGGAAGAATATGCAGAGGAATGTTACTATATAGAACCTCAAAGTCACTTCTCTGCCACCAATAGCAGTGGGAGCTGTACAGGAGGTATTCATGGGGAGAGCTCAGCACAATAGAAGAATTAGAACTAAGAATATAGAATAGAGAGTGGTAGGCTGGTGAGAATAATAAAAAAGATAAACAGGAGGAAATAAGAAGAGTTTTGAGGGAATGAGAGTAAACAAAAAAGTCACAGATGCTTCGATCTCTTGAGGGGATTTGCCAAGAGTGCAACTGAGATGAGTACTCAGAAGGAAATGACCACCAACATTTTCTGCTTTATCAGTGAGATTTGATTGTATTTTGGAATCTTGAAGCATTGGGTACATACATTACTACATGCATATCACACAAGTCAGTTATTAAGTACATTCTTTTTGAGGGGAAGGCGGTACAGATGTTTGAACTTAGGGTTTCACACTTGCTAGCCAGGTGCTCTACCGCTTGAGCCATGCATATTAATGACTTACACTAACTTTAATTCTAATATGGACAAGGTTCTGAGTTAGATGTGGAAGGGTACAAAGTTGAGTAAGACATGGTTCCTTCCATTAAGACAACTTATAACTAGTGAACAAAATCACAAATAATTATAAAGCAACACCACTGTCATAGAAAAGGCTCAAGTATTGCTGGTGCCTTGGAGTTAGAAAGAAAAACATACCTGCCTCAAACAGTTTAGCAAAACCATTTAAATACATAATACTTAAGCTAGGAGTTGGTGCTTTAGGATCTCATATGTTCAGAGATAATTAACTTGATTACACAGTTGAATGCCTTAAGGAAAAGTTTATGATTCTCAAATGTCAGAGGATGAGAAAGAAATTATAGTTAGAAGTTGTAAACAAAGAAAAATAATAGAACATTTGGAAATGTTTGACCTAGTGGCTTGGCATGCTTGAGAGGCAGCACACATAGTTCTTGGTATCTTTCCAAAGCTAGGAATGAGGTTCCTTTTGGGGAATTACATCCAGCCTTCCAAGCTAACATATTCTAATGATGTCATCTCCCCTCCACCAGTTCTAAGTAATGTTCTCTTCAGTAGCTATCTCTCTCCCAGTCTTTTGAAATGTTAGAGAAATGAAAATGAGTTATTTTTCATAATCATGTAGATACCTTTACATTTCTGGGATAAGAAAAAAATAGAAGACCACTTTCCTCTAAATACCTAAGAAATGTATATAGAAATTGCAAAAGATTATTATAAGTCAAGGGTATAAGGTCCTGAATAAAATATATATTCTTGAAATTTTCTTCTGAAAGATCTACATTAGCCTTATGCCTCCTCCTACTTGACACTGATCTCTAACTTCCTTCAATTCCTTTGTTTAGTTTCTCTGGCCTTTCATTAAAGTTAGTGTAAGTCATTTGGAAATTCAGTTTTCTTCATTTTCCTAGTTAAACATATTAAATAAAGCCAGATAATGAAAATCATGCAATAAGACATTTCTATATCCTTCCCAGGGATCTAAATTTTTGGTTATCGTTGAAAGACAGTTAAATGGAGAAACATTTTCAGGAGTTTCATTATTAAATATCCTTTGTTACTCATTCTAAACCTTCCCCAAAGAAAATTAATTGACATACATTGGTCTGTTTCCAGGCAATTTTTAAGTCTTATGACAATACTTAGGACCAGAAATAGTTTTCATTAATTTTTGAGTAAATCTAATAATGCTAAAATGAATATTTATTGAAATAAAGAGAAATTAAATCTACTGAATTTCCTTAGGAATTAAATCTATTGAATTTCCTTAAAATGATTTATCCTTTATTACCAAACTCTTTTCTGCCTATAATTAAATAAAACTTAGCATTTTTTTCTACCTTTTATTTCCTTTGAATTATGAGAACTAAATAATAAAATTAAGCAAAGCATAATTTGTGGCTTTAACAGAAAGAGCCAAGACTCCAATGCAGCCTTTTCTATCAATCAAATATAAATTTTTATACGAATTTTCCCTAAACCTAAGAACTGTGACATCTTATAAAAGTAAGAGTTGAATAAGATAATACTGTTGTGTTTAATAAAAGTAGTAAGAACTAAATTTCTCTCCAATACTCTAACTATTAACCTACCTTGATTTTTAAAAAAATTATTGATACTTGGTTTTAAATCAGAAATTTATCCTGATTATTTGGGGGTGTGTTAATATGAACTCCTATTAACCAAGACTTTATAAGGGCAATGTCATGGAAAGCATATAAATTTTAACCTTGTAGTTTCCTGGACTAACTGTACTCAAATAAGGAACAAGGAAAAAAGAAAAGGCGGAAGCAGACATTTCCATCTTGAGTGTCTTGAGCAGATGGTGAAAAGGGAAATCTAGGAGGAGAAAGTCTGAGGAGAATTTTAGCAAGTCATGTCATAGGTATATTGAGTTTGAAGTGACTTTAGGACATCCATGTGGGATTATCTGGCAGTCAAATAAAAATGTAAGTCCTGAGCTGATGATGCACACAAATTAGTGCTGAGTACACATTTAAGACTCATGAAAGAATAACTTGCTAGCAAGACTTGTATGAAGTTTGAAGTGAGCTCTCTCAAAAAATAGTTTTGTTTCAGAAATGACATTTAAGCACAGGCTGGGTGGCTACTTTCCTAAATGTAAAGGGAAGTTTTAGGAGTGGAAAGGTGATTGGGCTTGATAAAGCTAAGGTGCCTCTGTCCTCAGAACACTCATGCTGTTTACAGCAACTTTGTTACCCACTAGGTAAGTCCAAACCTGTCTACACAGCATACACTGTAGCTCTAACTGGCTGCTCCAGGAGACCCCCTTTTGTGTCCACTAGTACCTCTGAACTGACTGTAGAGTTGGCCATGGAAATATTTTCAGTGGAAGACTGACGTGTAAGAAAGATGTTTTATGTGATGGTTTATGTGTAAGAAAGATGTCTCAAAGGCAGAGAGGAGGAGAAAGGGGAAGTTTCTGGTTTAGGGAGAGGAAAACATTCAAAAACCTGGGTGAGAGATAATTAGGGCCTGAAACAGGGCAACGGTGAAGAAGTACAGTAAAAATGGTGGCTTTAAAGTAGACCTAATGGGCCTTAGAGGCTTTCTGGATAGGGAAATGAAAAAGACACTTCTAAGATATTCCAAGTTTCTGGCTCAGTGACTGGGTAATGGTGAGATCCTTTACTGGGACAGATAGCAGAGGAGAGGAGGCAGGTTAGGTAAAAGGAAAACAGAATCAGTTTCGGAGTTGGATATGTCTGTGGTACATTTAGTGGAGTTGCACAGCTGGTTGTTGAATATGTGGGTTTGGAGTCTGGAAGTGAGATCAGTTTCAATCTGAATGCTTCTTAGGCCTGCAACACAACTGCCATTCTCAGACATTTCTGCCCTGGCATTTTGGGAAGTTTATTGTTTCCTATTTTTCTCTTCCAAGTTTAACATCTTGTGTTTTAAAAAAAAATTTCTATTATCACATTACTGTTGTGCTGGGGGTACACTGTGACATTCACAAAAGTGCTTACAATATATCGTAGCTAAATTCACCCTTTATCTCCTCTCCCCCATCTTGGGTTTTTTTGTTGGTTTGTTTTTGTGGTACTGGGGCTTGAATTCAGAGCCTAGACCTTGAACCGCTCCACCAGCCCTTTTCTTGTGATGGGTTTTTTCAAGACAGGGTCTCACAAACTATTTGCCTGGGCTGGCTTCAAACAGCGATCCTCCTGATCTCTGCCTTCTGAGCAGCTAGGGGATTACAGGCGTGAGCCATAGGTGCCTGGCTCTATCCTCTTTGTTGAAGTACTTTGTTAAGTAAATTCCTATGGAAGTCTGAGAAGTAAACATTGTGAGCACTTATATTTCTGAAGTCAGCTTTATTTTTACCCTTAATCTAGTTTTATTGAATATAGAATTCCAATTTTCCATCTGAACTTTGCTATTGAAAATCTAAATGCCAGTTTGGATCTTATTCCTTTGCAATGAACTACCTTCCTTCTGCAGAAACTTTTCCTTTTGTTCTTGTTCTGAAAACTCATATCTTTTTCATCTCCCAGAAATTTTCCTCTATTATTTCACTGATTCCCTCCCCTCTATTTCCTTTTTGGAATTATTGTTCCTTGGATATTGTACAATCTTACATTAGTATTCTGTATCTTTTTTCCTCCCCTTCCCTTATTGTATTGTCTTCCCTGTTCTGAGAGATTGTTCTGTTTCTTATTTTATATTTGACAATTTTTATCTTAAAGTATCCTGGTATTTTTGAGACAGGGTCTTACTATGTAGCCCTCCTCCATCCTCCTGCCTCAGTTTTCTGAGTGCTAGGATTACTGGCATGCAACACCACGCCCAGCTCAAGTATCCCATTTTCTAAATAAAGTCTCCTTGATTTTTTTTTTTTGTATTAAAGACCTTTTCAGTTCCCTCAATTTCTTCTACTTCTTTCAGGGACAATTTTTGTTAGCATTGTTTGCTTTTTACTTTGTTGTTCACTCTCTTCTATTGTGCTTTGTGATCTTTCATTATTTATTCGTATCTAAGAAAGGTCTGGAGAATGCTGATTTTCTCTACCACTGTGTAAGTAGGTCTGTTTTCATAACAAGTTTCTCCTCTGAATAGAAATGTGGACTGGGGACTCTGTATATGGTACATCAGGAAAGATGGATGGACAAACTATTTTAGGATGAGAAGTCAAGAGTGGAATATTAGGTTGTGGCCTCTTAAGGGCCTGATAGGAAGGATTTTTCTTTAATGCACAGAAATGTCTAATGTTAGGTTGGAAACATGGCTAAAGAACCTGCCTTACAAAGTGTGAAAGTCCCGAGTTCAAACCCCAGTATCACAAGAGGAGGAGGAGGAAGTGGAAGAAGAGAAAGAGAACAGCTAATGTCTACACTAGACACCTTAGCTTTTATTAGATAGTCTTGGTATTCTTAGAGGAGAGCTTCAGGTTCTCAGTCCAAGAGTGACCACTTTTGTCCTGTGTGAAGGAAATGATAATAGGATCTGGAGGACCATGTAACACTCTTTCTGCTTCAGGTCCCATTCCTACCCTCTTATAGAAATCACAGACTCTGAACAGAGGATCCTCCAGGTTTCCAAAACACAAGGAGTTTTGCACATCCTGTGTAGCACTCTTATAATGTCTGAACCAAATATTATTACAATTTCATCCACAACATGCTTTCACATCTGTTTGTGTCTTCCAGAAAGTGGATGAAACCTCACCTGCTAGTTAACCTACTATTCTCTATGTAGATGGATTCCTTTTTGTTGTAATTTTATTTCAGGGTCCTCAGGAGAGACAGGATGCAGTCTGCCATCTTGAACCACAATATAAACAACTCACTCAAGTTTTAACATAACTGCTTCCTTCACCCAGGACCTATGCTTTATATTTGACTCATCCCTTTGATGACTGTATTTATTCACTGACATTCACTCAATACACATTTAGTAAGTATAGAAATAAGTATAGATTATTTATCAGGTGCTATGGATATATAGTTGAAGAGATACAGCTTGTTTTGTGTATTCAGAACACAGATGCATAAATAGACAATCCCAACCTATTTTAGCAAGAATTCAATGAAGCAAGAGAACACTGGAGATGAGCACAAAAGTTTCCTGAGGGGGTTACGAAATGATTCACAAGGAAACTGGTCATCAAAGTCTTGAGTTTTCCAAGCAGATGAGAGTAAGGAAGTAATGGAGATAAGGCAAAGGGACTCCTTAACTGGACAGTCCCTCACAATAAAGAATTATCCAGCTCAAAGTGTCAATAGGGTAAGAGTGACAGAACCTGCCCTAAAAGTCCTCACATGGCCACAGCCAGAAAGAGCAGCCCTGCAGCACTGGAATAGGGAGACAGGTGGACAGCTGAGTCTAAAGCAGCACAACTGGGTTGGCAGCTGCTGTTTGTTCTTAAGAAGGAGGTGTGAAGAGAGCCTGAGGTCAGAAGGGGAGAGATAGAGAGGAAAATGGCTGCATTATGGGTCCAAAAGACCAGAGCAGTCTACTTTAGAAGTCCCAGTGGAGGGAGTAGACTAGTGCACTTCCTCCACAGCTGAAAGGCAGAGGGAGCAGGATACACAGGAAACTGCACCGAGCCTAAGAGCTCTTTAGCAACATACCCACAAAAAGGTCATGTAATCCTGTTTTCCTTGAACATCATGGGGTTGGCCTGGAGAAGATCAGGGGAGGAAAGGAAATCTAAAGGACAAAACACTTTTCCACAGGAAGCCACACCATCCACAAGAGACAATTTAAATGATCCTTATTCTTGCCACATTGCCCAAAGGAAGGAGGCTCATGAGAATGACTAGTTCAGTTTTAGGACACAAGCAAACTTCGAACATTTGAGTACAGTGTGGGGACTGTTATTGAGATTATTTATGGTACTTATTGAGTAACAACTTGCAATAGGATTAGGACTTCACTTGAATCTCACTTTATCTTGGTCAAAGCTCCATGCTTTTCCCATGACCTTAGTTTATAGTTAAAGTCCTTTCCAGTTCAAAAAAATAAGAAGTTGAAAATTATTTTGATAAATTCTACTCACCTCTTTTTTCAACCAGTCATTCTCCCAGATCTCACGATAACTGCCTCTGTCAATAAACTTTACAGCATTCTAAAAGAAAGTTTCTCTATTAAGGAAGAGATGCCACATAGTGATTCACAATTTTAGCAATGGTGACACACGATCACTTTCTCTGATAATTTTATTATGTCTTGAAATTACTTTGAGAATATATGTTAAGAAATTTTGCTGTCATCCTACCTACTCAGGAGGCAGAGATCAGGAGGATGGAGGTTTGAAGCCAGCCAGAGCAAATAGTTCAAGAGACCTATCCTGAAAAAACATAAAAGAGGGCTGGCAGAGTGCATGCCTATCAAGCATGAGGTCCTGAGTTCAAACCCCAGTATTTCCAAAAAAAAAAAAAAAAAAGGAAGAAATTTGGTTCAATTGTTCTTTTAATAAAAAAACTATCCTGTTGTATTGTTTTTTGCTGATTTACCCTGCTACTACAATAGGTGACTTAGAGACCTAGATATTGTGAGGGTGTCCATTCACTTGGCCATCATTGTGTCTGAATCTGACTACCATGATGGAATCAACCATTAAATGATGTGCTCTATAATTAAGATGGCTAAACTGTAATAATCACACATTCCTCAAGTTTACAGTCAAGATAGAATTTAACATAAAGCAAGCAAAAGCTTGAATAGATTACATTACTATCTTTTTAATTTGAAATGTTTCTGTATGTCAATAGTAACAATGTACTTACTTATAAACCTAATAGCAAATAGATTCAGGATAGTGAGAAACACAATAGATGGTTTTCTGCAGAAAAGCATTATAGACAAAAACAGGAAAAACCTTTCTTTGGTAGCAGGTTCATAATATGCAAATTTGTTTTCAATTACTTGAATATATAAAATTTCTTTTTGTTGGAACTTTTACTCTGTGTGTGTGTGTGTGTGTGTGTGTGTGTGTGTGTGTGTATCTCATTGGGGATCAAATTCAGGTCTTCACAAATACACTACCACTGCACCACACCCCAGAATGATATTTACAGTTTCATCCACAAGAGCCATCTCTGTGAGATGGTTTTATATGGATATTATGTCACAAGTTCAATATTCAGTAACTGAAGGACAGAACCAAAAGAAGATAAAAATATTAAAGAAGAATAAAATATTAAAAAAAATTTTAGGAAAAAAAGTGAAAAAAGAAAAAGATTCTAGATTATAAACATCAACAGAAATAATTTAAAGGGATAAATTTATCTGTTAAGTCCTTTGAGTTAGAAGATTTTTAATTTAAAAAAAAATCTTTAAATCATACTTATTAAACTAAGAGTGAATATATATCCTAGGAACCAGTAACTTTTATACTGCAGCTAAAACCAGGTTTTTCCAACATAAAATTTCATTTGAATAAAAGCAGGAAGTAGCTCCTAAATGAAGTTAGTTGGCTAACAGCTTAACTAACTAATAATGGAGTAGTGGCTTCAACCTTGGCTACACAGTAGAATCTCCTAAAAGCTTTGAAAAATTCCACAAACCCAGGCAACACCCCAAAGAAACTACCTTAGCATCTTTATTGGTGGGACCCAGGCACCACTTGGGGACACATCAGTGTATAGGAGGTTAAACTGTGTGCTAAAATAACCAGCTAACAGGAGAAAAACTCATTCAATAATGTGAGTGTTAAGCATCATGTAGATAAAAGAAAATGTATAGTGTAGTGATAAGGAGTGATGACCAGAAGGAGATCTCAAGTGGATTCCTCCACTTGCTCTAGGAAAGTCACACTCTTTCTCTGTGCCTCCATCTCATTAGCAACTCCCAAACCCTTTTAGGATGGCCGAGAGATTTAAATGTAATGTTCTTGGAGGAGCATTTGGAACAGTCCTCATTGCATATGCTTGGAGTTATATGCTTATTTGATCTACATATACATCTTTTTTGGAGGTGGGGAACAGTATTGGGGTTTGAACTCAAGAGCTTTGTACTTGTTAAGCTGGTGCGGTACTGCTTGAGCCACACCTCCAAGCCTTTTTTGCTCTGGTTATTTTGGAGGTACGGTCTTGGCTTTTGCCTGGCTTGTCTGGACTGTGATCCTATTTTAGGCTTCCTGCTGCAGCTGAGATGACAGGTGCGTACCACCATGCCCAGAAATCAGTTGAGATGTGGTCTCGCAAAATTTTTGCTGGGGCTGGCCTTGAACTGCAATCCTCCCAGTCTCTGCTTCCTGAGTATCTAGAATTACAAGCATGAGTCACTGCACCGGCTTAGCATACTATTGTCCCTGTTTTAAAAATTAGGAAGCAGAAACCCAGAAAAATTAAGTAAACAAATTCAGTTATACAGCTAGTAAGTGGCAGAGCTCCAACCTAAACTGCCTGACTTTAGAACCCAAGTTCTTTTGCATGTTAGGCAAGCACTCTACCACTGAGCTACATCCTAGCCCTTGTTTTTTGTTTTAAGACAGGGTCTAGCTATATAGCCCAGGCTGGCCTGGAATTCGCAATCCTCCTGAGCTGGGATTACACTCATGGGCCACTATGCTCAGCAGAACCTAAATTCTTAACCACTCTAATATACTACTATAAAGAATAAGGGGAAATTTTGTTTTAAAAAAATTGAGGCAGGGGAAGGATAAAGGAGAATGATGGAGGGGGGTGAATTCAACTATGACACTTTGTAAGAACTTTTGTAAATGTCACCATGTACCCCCAGAACAATAATTTAAAACACTGAAACATACCTGTGTGGCCCATTCCTTCTTTTGGTCCAGTTGCAACAAAGTTTCTTTAATTATTCTCTTTCTAGCATCTTCAAGAGTGACTTTATAATGTTCTTTAAAAGAAATTACAAGCCTTTGGTAAGACTAATCCTAGTGAATTTCATCTTCCATGATCCTCACCTCTCCTTTTACATGCTTTTTCCTGAACTCTCTGAGTACATTTTTCTAACACATCTAGTTCCTTCAGTTAAAGAAATGTTTCTATAATTTGCTAACATTTTACTATGAATTAGTCTAAAATTTCCAAGAATTTTAAACACTTTAGTATTGTGTGGCAATCTATCCTTTGTATCCCACAACTTGTGGTTCCATAACATAAGTATAAAAATCTTACTATCTGCTTAGTAGCATCATGTACATCTGACTCCATCTATCTAGATTTTCAATATTCCTGGCATGTGTTTCCTGGAAAAGGAAAGACAGGGAGGAGTGTGAAAAGAAGAGAACACTGAGAAGCAGTAAACCTGGTTACGTGTTGGATTTTCTACAAGACAGGAGGACAGAGATAAAGTGCAGGATTCTCCACTCTCTACATTTTCTTATGCACATAAATATCATTACTGAAAGAGTGAAGATAAAGCTTTTGGCCTAAAAAGATGCTTAAAGATAATATAATCAATTTTCCTTAGGAAATGAGGTACCATGGCATTAAGGCTGCTTAAGAGAGTAGAGAAAAATAAAACTGGATAAAGGAGTCCAATTTATTTTTTTCAACAAATAATTATCAAGTTCTTTCTCTGTGCCAGATACTGTTGAAGACACTGGGAATGTTTCTGATTAAGACAGGTAACCACTGCCCTTATGACATGGCCATTCTCATGAGGAAGACAGCCACAAGTAAGAAAAGCAAGCAAGTAATAATCAGGAGGTAACGTGTGTGATGACAAAGAACTAAGAATCTCTATTCCAGATAAGGTTGTCAGAGAAAGCTTTTTTTGAGGAGGTAACATTTGAGCAGAGTCTAACTAAAGTGATGTAATCAGCAATGTGAAATATGAGGGAACTGTACTCTCAAATGAGTTAATCTGAAAATAATCAAACTTAGTGGTGTTTTATCATATAGCTATGTTATATATCCCCATCAACTGTGCTTTATTTATCACATATGCATGGTAAGTATTTGCAAGTCATGATCTATTTTCCAATACAACTAATGATAAAAATGATAGCTGCTAGACTTTTGGACAGGTCCAAACAAAACTAAACTAAAATACTAAACTAAAATAACTAAACAAAATGTTGTACAAAGAATGCTGTAGAAACTGCTAGCTAGGACATTGTTTCAAAAGGAAAATTTTTTTCACAGACCAAGGCAGCAAAGTAGAACTCTCTGGATTTTGTGTTATGGGGAAGGAGATCACAGGTCTGATTTTCCTATAGCCAAACTAAGGTGGCTACAAGAGAACTAGGGAACCTGGGAGCTGGGAAGAGTTAGTCAGTTCTCATCTAAACTTTATACTGGCACAACTCTTTCTCTATTAGATGAAAACTAGGACAACAGAAAATTTTTAAAAAGTCTCTTACATATTTTTGAATTACTGTGTTCCTAGACACTATAAATATTGAAAAACATTTTGAAGGAAATTAAATCTGGCAAACTGCCAGTTTTTGATGGGCAACAATCCGAGGCTTCAGTACCTGGGTGGCAGCAGCAAATGGTTTTTCAGGGACAATGGAGGTGGAAAGGGGAAGGAGAGGTAAAGAAAGAAGACAGCTTACACAAGTTGTGGAATGGCTAGAAAATGGGGTTGGGGGGCCTCTAATAGTGTGGATAAGATGTTTGACTCTGGCTGTGTTTCATTAGGTTTGGGGAACTAGTCTAACTTGTTATCTAGAAAATAAGAAATGAACTCTTTTTATTCCAACCTACGTATACTCATCAACATGGCCTACATTTTTCTTACTCTCATTTGAAGTAATCCTTTGAAACTTTCCAATCTCATTTCTAATGAAATTTCTTCTTTGAGTCAGGCCCTTGTCCATTGGGTTATTAATGCTAGTTATTTGTTTGATCCTTACACATAACAATCAATCTAAAAGCTGCAATGGATTAGGACTTAAACTATAATGGATTTTATAGTCTTAGCATCTGAAAGAAATCATAAAATCTGGAGCTTAATATCATAAAATATTAATTCTTTGCTATAAATTACAAAAAAAGATGGTCAAATATGCTCTGACTAAAACTTTGACAGTTTCAAACTTTATAAGACATTCTGTGGACTATTTTTCTTCTTAAAAACTGAGTAAGCAGCAGGAAAGTGATTCAAATGATGCTTCCTATAGCCTAGTGACACCTACTAATCACTCATTTGTGAAGGCTACCAGAGGAGACACTATAAGTAGAAGCTTGGGAGGTTGTGCTGTAAGACTCCTTGTTGCTCAGATGTCCACTCTAATGTGGTCAGTTCTTGGTAGATGACCCCAAACTGCATGGACTGATGCTTCTTTCCATTGTTCTGTCTTTCCTGTTGTGCATGGCTCTGCTTTGGTTTACTTCTCCAACAAGTGCTGGAAATCTTGGGTGATCTTCCCTCACTTCTGGGCATCACACAGCTTCATTGTCCTAATCCTCTTCTGTGGTGGTGGCTCCATTCAGACCCTTCTGGAGAAAACTAAGCAGAGGCAGGTGGAAATACTGGCTAGGTCTTACTCTCTACAGACACAGTCTGTGTTGGAGATACACCCATATCTCAATGGATCACAAAGCTGGGATGACTATTTGAAGGAAAAGAAGTTTGGAGTTTGGAATCTGCTGCACCTGGGTTCAAATTCCTGTTCTACTACTAAGTTATGTGAATTTGGGTAAGATAATTAACCTCTCTGGACCGCTGTTCTCTCACCTTTAAACTGGGCTTTATTATATCTAACTCAGAGGAACTTATAAGGACCATGTAAGACATGGAAAAGCAGATGATGAAACCAGATTGGGAACACTTGGGGACTCTCATTTTGTAAATGAGGAAATTAGACCCAAAGAAGTAATGTTACTTTTTTGCAAGCAGACTTAAACCCGTCTTTTAACTCACTTTTAGTGTACAAAGAAGTTTTAAGGTTTCCTGTCTTGTGCCCCTGGTTAAACATAAAAATAAAAATGCTCAGTAAGTATATATCTATTGACTTGTTATAAACTGTTCTTTACCTCTGGGCCTAATCTAAGTTTCTCTTTCTTTTTTCTTTCCATTTGTTTTTCTTCCTTTTTCATCCTTGTTCAGCTACCTGCTCATCACTTAGCAGCTGGCTCAATCATCAGATGAAAAAAACATAGTACATACAGGGGTTGGTAGTATTCACCATTTCAGGAATCTACGATAGATCTTGAAATATCCTTCTAGGATGCAGGGGTTCTACTGTGTTACAGCATTTGATCTCCACCACATGAATGATTCAGGGAGTATTTGTTTTTTTCTTCCACCAAATGTACACCTATTAAAGATCTTTTGTTGAACTTGAACTAGTTTTGTTGTAACTGACCTGACATTTTCTCTGCATTCTCTTTAACTATATTGATGTCATTTTGTAAGGAAGTAATGAGTTTGGCATGTTGTTCACTCCCTACATTCTTGTACTCTTCCCAATATTCCTTTTCACTGAGTTTCTCAAGAAACAGTTTCTCAGCATCACTTATTTGTATGCGCATAGCTGTTGAAAAGAAAATCAAGGTATATGTCATTTCTATTGTCCTTACAACCATGATATGTTATAATCTGGTTTCGTAAAGTTAAGGTCTGATATTAAAATGCCATTAACTCATAAATACTATTTTATAGAGGCAATTTTGGGAAATCTAAACTATTCAAACTATTGTTTATCCCTCATGATTCAAAATTGAAGTAAATTAAGCTTCCAATTTTAAAGCAGATACGTGATTTGGGGTTATGTTTGAATAATACATATGCCTAGGAATATATAAGTTTAAATAGTCCTATGATAGCTTTTTAACGGTCTGATTTTGTACAACACATACTAGCATGTGTATTCTTTATTACAGAGTGTCTTTTTCTGGACATTATGTATCTGAGAAAAAGTGATTTCAACTCATGTCCTTTCAGGTCCTTGACAACCATTTTTTTTGTAAATAAACTGAATCAGTCATCTAAAGTTCATTTGTTTGGACTTCCCTTTTGTGACATGATATCATAATAACATGTCTTCTCCCACTCCCCTATGTTGAAAGACTTCAGGGCAGAAGTTAAGTCCTCCCATTAGATGGGTACAGATGTTGAAGTATTTCCAATGTATGCCCTTTCCATCTGCTCTGGTGTACTTGCTAAGCATGATACTTTATTTGGTTTTTTATATCTAAGTATAATATTGCTGAATGTCTTTAAGTAGGAAGCATTACAAAGAGCCAACTACATGTCTGTTCTCCTTCTCTCTCTCTCTTCCTCTCTCCCTTCCTACCTCTCTCCCTCCCTCCCTCCCTCCCTCCCTCCCTAAGCCTCTGTGGCCTTCTTTCTTCCTTGGGTGACTACAAATGCCCTGTCCTCCCTTACTATGCTCAGTTATCCAAACTGGCCTGAGTCTTGCATGACACACAGCTCCCTATGCTTAACTCAAACTATGAACAGTACACCTCAACTAGCACCTTAGAAGGCAGTTCAGCCAGCACACCTAAACATCCCTTTGGATCTTACTCCCAACTCGAGGACTTGAGTATTTCAGGCAAAACTGGTTTTAGAAATTTTAGCAACAAGTGTATGATGAAAAAATAGGAATAAAATGCCTACATCAAAACTGGGTATGTCCGATTTATTCTCCAGGCCCGTCGTTTTCCTAAATTAGTAACAAGAGTATGTCTTGTGACTTTCATCCCCCACCCCTAGCATCATTTCTATCCATGTCCTCCAAACTTCCTGTTTCCCAACTCTAATCTCTCTTTCCCCCATTTAAATGGTATGTATGTGGTGGGGGAGAGGACTTAACCCTCTTAGAGAGATGGGGGGCTGTTCATAGTTATATTCATCTTATAATTTCCAAATCTAAACCAAGGTTAAAGTCAATGAAGCCATCAACCAGTAGAACTTCATATAAGAAAAGAACAAATCCCCACTGTGAGAAGCAGTTAAGAGTGGTTTCTAGCAAGATACCATTCAGTGCTAAGAGTCAGGTAGATTTCATCTGTTTTTGCTCACTATTCTTATTTCTCCTCCTCTCTTGACTTCAGTTCCTTTGTTCATGTCATTTATTTCCCTCTCTTGTCCATTTATCTACATGTATTTGTGGTTGTGGTGGTAATGATGTCATGTGAAACATAACCACAGCATTTGAACACACTGGAAGACAAAACTAATATTAATATATTCAAGAACTAACTGATGCAACTTCTATGATAATTTTCTAATTTCCTAAATCACCTTTCAAGTTTTTTTTCCTGGTCTCTTTCAAATTTCCACTTCTCCTTCATTGCTTTTTCAACATCCTCTTTTGTTACAACTGGTAACCCATCTGACTTCTCCTCACTCAGTTCCTTTAGTAGGTTCCTTATGTGCCAATTCGGTTCCTCCTTCAAGCGTCTATTCTGTCATGAAACCCACAGCAATCATTATCTTTTGAGCTACTCACATTGTTTTCCCAGAACAGAGCCACAGGTTAGATAAATTATACAACAATATCTAAGAGCTTATGGATCATGTAAGACTCTAAACCTATTAATGTAGGAACCAATAGATACAATGTTTCATAGTAAAATTATAACTAATTTACAATGTATTAACCTTGCAATCTATTACATCAGTGAACATTAAAGGTAAACCTTGGAGGTCAACTTTTTTCAGTCTCCACTAAACACTGTTACTCTTTAGCACTCCTTATTCACTTAGTCATCTACCATGTGCCAGGCAGTATGCTGAGTGCTAGAACTATATCAGTTAACAAAACAGGAAAAAAAAAAAAGTACTGCTTTTATAGAACTTACCTTATTCTTCGCTTTTCTCACAAATAACACCAATTCTCTTCTTTTAGGATGATGGTTACTCACCATTCTAAACTTCATACTTGAAATATAGATCATGTTCTTGTGACTATCCCATACATGTTTCTAAATTTCTCATTTAATTAATTAAAGTTTGTTATTGCCTTTACTATATATTATGTATATTCAAGTAAATAAAAAGTGATAATTACACGCAAACCTGCCATATAATAATTACTACGGTAAATACTTAACAATGAAGTAAAAGACACTAGACAGTAACTTCAATCCATGAGAAAAAATAAAGCCAATAAAAGTAATGACACAGGCAAATACAAAAGACAGAATTAATATATTTTTGTAATTCTTTTTTCCCCTACCTTATTTTAAATTAATATAGTTAAGAACTAACTGATGCAACTTCTATGATAATTTTCCAATTTCCCAAATCATCTTTCAAGTTTTTCTTAAACCTTGAAAGACAAGTGCAGGCTGGGAGCTGGTGGTTCATGCCTATAATTCTAGCTACTTGGAAGGCTGAGATTGGGAGGACTGTAATTCAAGGCAAGCCTGGGCAAACAGTTCAGGAGTCCCAACTCCAAAATAACCAGAGCAAAATGGACTGGAGGTATGGATCAAGAAGAAGGAGCATATGCTTTGCAAGTATGAAGCTTTGAGCTCAAATCCCAGTGCCACCAAAAAGAAAAAAGGACAAATGCATAGAGCAATAATTATAATCTATGTTTATGGGCATGCAGTGTGTAAAGTATATTTTGTGTTATAATAACAATACAAATGAGGAGGGAAGGAATAGAGCAAAGTTTTTCTATGTTATTAAAATTAAGTTGGAATCAATCTGAACTAGATTGTTATAAATTAAGTTTTTAATTGGAATCTTTCACAGAAACAACTAAAAAAACCTGAAATTATAATAAGAGAAATAACAGAATTAAAACAGTATGCTAGAAAACGTTTAATACAAAAGAAGGCAGTAATGGAAGAATAGAAGAACAAAAAGAACATAAAACAGAGAAACAGAAAAATGTCAGAGGTAAATCTTCCTTATCAACAACTACATTAAGTGAAAGAGGTTAAACATCGCAATGAAAAGGCAGAGCTTGGCAGGAGGAATTTTAAAAAACTGACCCACCTGTATGCTCTCTCTGTGATACACTTTAGGTTCAAAGAAACCAATGGGTAAAAGTTTAAAGACAAAAAAAAGATGTACCATACAAACAAGTAACCCAAATACTAACATAAGAAAAAATAAACTTTATGAAAAAAATTGTTATTGGAGACAAAAGGACAATTATATAATAATAAAAGAGAGAAGCCACTAAGAATATGTAATGATGAGAACTATATGCCCTGCATTAGGTATTAATATTCCCCCCAAATTCATGCCAGTCCAGAGTGTGACCTATTAGAAACAGTCTTTGCAGATGTAGTCAGTTAGAATGAGGTCATACTAGACTAAGTGGGCCCTAAATCTAATGACTGGGATCTTTACTTAAAGGCAGTATGAGGGCCATGTGTGGTGCCCACCCTTAACGTTCCAGTACTGGGAAGATGGGAGTTGGGAGGATTAAAGTTTGAGGCAAGCCTGGGCAAAAAAGTTAATGGAATCCCATCTCAACCAATAAGCCAGGCACAGTGGTACATACTTAAAATTCCAGCTATGAGGCAGTAGGAGGATCATGGTCCAAGGCCAGCCCCAGGCAAGAATCTCAAGACCATCTCCAAAAAATAAAAAAAGCTAAGGATTGGTGGCATAGGCCATAATCTTTAGCTACTTGGGAGGTGGAAGATTGGAAGGAGGTTGAAAGGCCAGTCTAGGCAACAAGTTCATAAGACCACATCTCAACCAATAAAGCTGGGTATGGTGGTGTGTGCCTGTCATCCCAGCTATGTAGGAAGCATAACTAGAAGGAGGAGAATAGTGATTCAAGACAACCTGGGCATAAATGGTACACACTACAGGATCCCTACCCCTTGGGCTGCACCAGTCCTTGGCTCCGCTCTGGATCTACATCCCACCAGGATCCCCACCTCTCAGTTTCCCCTCCCTTCAGGCCCTGCTGGGTCCCAGCTCTGCATGGTACAACCAGATCCACACCCCTCCGGGATCCTTGCCCCTCGGGCCCTGGAGGGCACCAGCTCCACGTGAGACAGCCGCATCCCCAACCACTGGGACACTAGCCCCTCAGGCCCCACCAGATCCCCACTCGCTGGGATCCCTGCCCCTCATGCCATGCCAGGCCCCAGCTCTACAGGATTGCCAGATAACCACTCCACCAGGTTCCCATTCAGGCTGCCATAGGAGGGCTCCAAACCTGCCTAAGAGACATGGATAGACAGGACTGGATGCTAAAGGAGTAACATCAGAATAACTAAGACTGCAATTCTACTGTTCCAGAATTGGTGATTTTTTTTTCCTCCTTCTTTAAGTAAACCAGACAGCCAAACTGCATTGCATTTCAACTTGGGACACTTTGTGGGTTTATTTTTTTATTTTTTTTGTGCAGTTTTGTTCTACTTTATGCGTCCCCTTTGACGAGACAACTACAGAACAACATCTGAGGCACCATCTCCAGGATTGGAGACTGAGATGGACACCAAAATTATTAAGACTGAAACTTCATTGCATTTGAACTTGGAGGGTTTTTTATTTTTTTAATTTTCTATTTTTCATTTTGTTTTATTTTATTTATATATATATTTCTTTCATTAACTTATTTTTTATTTTCATTCTTATCTTTATTCTTTTTATTTTTTATTTTCAATCCTCTCTCTGTCTCTCTAATGCCTGTTCATCTTACTGTCAATTACTATACCAACATTCCCTGTTTATACCTTTGAAACTTTTTTGTTTGATTCCTTGTTTTGTTTTTTCCTACTGGTCTGTTTATTTGTTTTTCCCTTTTTCTTTAACTTCTTGCTTTCCATCTCTTCTCACCCTTCCATTCTAAATATTACCATTGTTATTATTACAAGCTAGAAAATACTTAATTGCACACAGTACAGGGACAGTAACAACACCGAGGACAATGACAGGAAGACAGAAAAAACAGGGAAACCAGTTTCCCCACAGCAAAAAATTAGTACAGGAACCAGAGGGAAATGAAGAAAACAGATATTCAGATCCAGACTCCAACAAACTGAAGATAAACTATGCCAAAGAACCCAATGAAGCCCACAAGAATAATTTAAAAGAAGACATACTACAGGTACTCAATGAGAATTTTATAGAGATGATACTGGATAGGGTCAACCAAAATGTACAGGAGACACTCAAGAAATTCCAAGACAACAAAAATAGAGAATTTGAAAAAGCAAAAGAAGAAATAAAGGAAACCATAGAAGGACTGTATAAACAGCAAAGTGAAACACAAAACACGATTAATAAAGAGATAATGGACTCAGGACAAAAATAGACAACATTAAAGAGGAAACCACCCAGGATATGAAAACCTCAGAAAAAAGAATGAAACAGAACTGCAAAACAAAACAGAAGGCCAATCCAGCAGAATAGAAGAAACAGAAAACAGGATCTCAGAACTTGAAGATGAAATGGTAATTAAAGGAAAAACCAAAACTATTAATTAAACAACTTAAGACCTGTGAAAAGAAAATGCAAGAACTCACCAACTCCATCAAAAGACCAAACGTGAGAATCATGGGCATCGAAGAAGGAGAAGAGGGGCAAGCGAAGGGAATGCGTAATATATTCAACAAAATAATAACGGAAAATTTCCCAAATCTAGAGAAAGATATTCCCATACAGATGCAAGAGGCCTCCAGGACACCAAACAGACCAGATCAATATAGAACAAACCCACGACATATCATCATTAAAACAACAAGTTCAGAAAATAGGGAAAGAATATTGAAGGCTGTAAGACAGAAAAAACAGTAACATACGAAGTTAAACCCATCAAAATCACAGCAGACTTCTCAACAGAAACATTAAAAGCAAGAAGAACGTGGAGTGAGATCTTCCGGGCACTGAATGAAAATAACTTCAACCCCAGGATTACTCTACCCAGCAAAACTATCATTCAAAATAGATGGAGCAATAAAAGTCTTCCATGATAATAAGCAGAAACTAAAACAATATGTGACCACAAAGCCACCACTACAAAAGATTCTGCAAGGGATTCTGCACCAAAGAAAGTGAAACCCAACTTAACCATGAAAAACAGGCAAGCACCAAACCACAGGAAAAGAAAAAGCAAGGAAAAGTAGAGGGA